TATATGTTTAGTATAGATGTTGATTAAATGCTGTATTAACCAAAATGAACTTAAGTTAAATGTAATTTTGAATTTCATTTTGTTTGACTATTGTAATTAAAAATTTCACTAAATTATTAATTGCAATTAATTTACTGATTATTAATTAACAGTTTATAGCTCATTTGGAAGTTAATTACAGTTACTATCATATCTAGTATTAAACTTATGCCTAGGTATATTAATTTATAACTAATTTAATTAAAAACAAAAATTTCAGAAAATTTTCTGAAAATTTTCAAAAATTTTTAAAAATTTTCTTAAGTTTTGAAAATTTCAAAAATTTTCGAACGCTATTAAAAACTCTAATTAATAAAATAAGAGTGAATTAGTTATTTATATAATTGTATAGAAATCCGACTGTAATTATTAAACATATTAGTTATTTTCATTATATTGGCAATTTTTCTAACTATTTAGTTCAGCGGGATCGATTTAACATAAAATCAATTTTATACAAAATTATAATGTTTGCAATGCTATAAATTACCAGGCTGTAATATTGAAATAAATCAAATGTTTTTGATATGAGGCAAACATGATATTAAAATTTGGATAACTATCGGATTTTATTTTATTTTCATTATAATAAATAAGAAACTAGCTATTATAGTATTTTAGTAAACTGATCTTGATAGCGAGTTATTTTTAACAAAACTTATGATACAACGCATAATTTACTTTAAAAGTTAGTATGGTAGTTTTTATTAATACGAAAACTAATAACTTACAAACAGATCCAATAATACAGGCAATAGCCGCTACACTGGGAAATAAGGCGACCCAGCTCATGTCGGTGCTGGTTATGTATTTAAAATCTACGTAGGTGGGTCCGAAACTTGAAAATGTCAAACCCTATTCAAAAACATTTTGATAACTAGTAGTTTATTTTTGTATAACAATTAACTAGATATTGTACTTACAAACATCATGTGGTTTAACAGGTTAATCGTGGTGTATATATACCGGTCGACTTGATAAAACTCATCCATGTCTTTTTGATTATCACGTGTCATGTAATCTCATTTAAATTTAAGTAAATTATTAGTAAATGTTTATTACTTTAATAATTATTTCACTCAATTACTAAATAATTTAATAAATTACTTATACTAATATATTATTTAAGAATTTATTAAATATGCTATACTAAAATTAAATGCAAAAATTTTGAATTATTTATGACTACATATTAAACTTCCGTTATTAGTATCACTTCATAATCGTTGAGTTAATTACTAAATAATTATTTACTTGAATGACAGAGACTTTCAAATAGTTGTATGCATAAAGTTGTTATCGAAATGTGTGTTATTTTTTATTTCTCATATCCCAGGGTTTTAAACATACATTAAAGTAGTTTTCCAATCAATTTCTAATAATATTGATTAAGCCTTTTACCGCAATTTTATACAACAGAAATTAATTTAAAGTATGCTCAATTTATTTATATCTTTATTAAACACTACAAATATGCAACAATTATCATAGTAACAATTTGTAATAATAATTTTATTTATTTAGTAAAACATAACTCTCATTGAATTCAATAGTAATAAAACATGTGATGATAATATTATTATTATATCGCAAATGTAATACAATTTAATATAATTTTTAAATAATTAATTAATTAACAAAATAAATATTAAAACTCTTCACACAATATACACACAAATCATAGCCTCAGACACTGTTTCGGCACTTTTCTCACCAAAAACAGGACGACCCCGAGAGCACCGATAGCATAGCATAGGGCGCCAAACTCTATGTACAGAAAACTATTGGGAAACTCCTCGATATACCGGCCCAAGAAAAATGGCAAAAACAGGTACACCGAGTTGTAGCTGGCTATAAACACGGCGCCCACCCTATCGGTCACCTCCATGTACTGGCCCACAAACGAGAACAGGCATATAAATATGGAACTGTAGCCAAAACATATGATAAGGGCGCTGATCCACAGGTGGGTCAGGGAGTGTTGACCGAAATACTGGTATATATAACCGACAAA